CTACAGTTTCCTCTGTACAGACCAGACCACTGAGGCTTGGAGAGGGTACTCGTGGTGCTTCAGGTTGGGATCCCTCTATGTGGTGTCCTCCCCACGCCCAGGCCCTGCTCTGCTGCTTTCCTTACAGGCCCCGCCCCTTCCAGGGGAAGACTTCCCTCCGAAGGCAGGCCACGTGTGCTCTGCTCCTTTATGAAGGGAGTGGTTTCCAAAACCAACTGTAGAGTTTCCTGAAAGCCGCTCCAGCTGCCCCCCCCAACTTCAAGGGCTCAGCAGGGCCCTGTCCAGCAAGCGCTGAGCCATCACTTCCCTGGTAACGGCAACCGCAACGGCAACGACCTGTGCTGACCCTGGCCTCAGGGGTCTTCCTCTCCTCATGGGGAGAATGCTGGGAGGAGGCTGTGAGGAAAGCCCCAGCCCTTCTGTGAATCATCCTGAGAAAAGTGGACACTCCTGTGTGGCCCACTCAGCGCTGCGCTGTGACCACCTTTGCCTTCAGCAGGGCCTTGGTACTGGAAAGAATGTGTCTTGGCTCCTGGGTCTTGCAGGAGGCAAAGGCCAGCACATTCCCGGGCTCAGCCCTTCCGCCTCCCAGCAGACAGAGGCCTGGGTCTCCTCCTGAGCTGTGCAGGGAGCTGGCAGGGTGTGGGGACCAGCAGCCTTCTCTCTGCCAGGCAAAGTTCCTGGTCTGCTTGGTCTCTCTTGGAGCTGCTGAGTGGGAAGAGACCTGGGAGCCTCCCTCCTCAAGGGTGCCGCTGGGCCCCATACCACCGCCAGCTCCCAATGCCTCGACCCCAGCCATTGAACTGGCTGGTGAAAGAGCCTATTTCTCTGCTAGTGGAAAAGACACACAGTTCTTGGTCCTGCCGCCCTCTCTGAACATCCCAAGTCACCCTGCCTGGTCTCCCCTCGAGGCACATAGGCCTTCTCTGTCCTTCACAGCCTCTCCTGCCTCTCTCCTCATGCCTTCCTCTTGCCAATTCCTGCCCCAGCTCTCTCCTCACTTCCCTGGGAAGCCTTCATGCACCCAGGATGGCTGGTCCCTGTGTCACGTGCCCTGCCCTTTTTTCCTCCAGAGTGCTTTTCATGGTCATGGTTACCAACCTGAGACTGATCCATCAACTGCCCCTCTCTAACCACAGGAAGGCTAGGACAGTGCCTATTGCTGGTGTGCCAGGCCAAACCCAGTAGGAGCTGCTCGCCTGTGTTACTGGGAAGTGGAATGTTCTAGCAAGATTGGGGTTTCCAGAAGGCACTGCAGTGAGGCCCTGCTCATACTCGGAGTGGGAGGAGGCATGCATGACCCAGAGAAGGTCGTGTGGGAGGGGGCAGGGCAGGGCGCAATGTGGGGCTCACACTGAGAGGGCTGGCTAGCCCAAACGGGACAAAACATCTTAGAAATTTGCCGGGAGAGGAGAGACCTGTGAAGGGGGTGTCAGTGCCCTAGCGGGGGGCAGCCAAAGGTAGATTCCAGTCCTTCGTGCAGTGCCCCGAGGGTCTCTGCCTTACAATAGAACTTCTTCCTTGCGGGGAGATGGCAGTGGATTCAGAGGCAGTGGGTTCAAATCTGCTTCCACTTTCTCTCTGGAGACCCACTTTCCTCACCTGTAAAGTGAGGATGACAAGACCTAACTGATGGGATGATTGGGAGGTCAGCTGAGGAAACACTCTCAGAGGGCGAATCAAATGTCATTTTGCTTTTATCTTCTCTACAGAATCTCAGGCCAGAGGGAAGGGCCAGGAGAAGGGGGCCCTCCTGACCGTGGACAGCCGCCATCTCTGTCTGGGCAATTGTCCTCCAACTGATGGTAAAAGACTGCAAACCCTGCTCCTCTGACTCGTGGCTCTGGGAAGAAAGCAGAAGCAGGTGCCCGCTAGCTTGGCAGAGGTGGGCAAGTCCTGGTCCCTTCCCGCCCTGCTGCTCACAAGCGCTCACCTAGCCCTCGCCTGAGACCCCGCATGGGGCATGGGGCAT